CAGATATAAAGGTATGTGTCAATCAAGATATGGGCAAGAACAGGCTTAATGATTAATCAGATGGGAGTGTGGATGTAGAATATGTATCCATGTAGTAATACTGCTTGCAAACCAATGATGATAAGATGATGTTAGGGGGTAGGACTAGATAAGTCTAACTTCTTCCTACTCCGTTCAAGCATGTACTAGGTATAAGCAAATTGAAAATATTTCTATGGATATGTCTGGAATTATGTGTGATTACATACTGACTGTTGTTACATGTTTGAAAGAATGAATAAATCAAATCAAATCAAATCAAATCAAATCATTCCCCGGTTTTTAAGTCATCCACTCCAAAGGGGGCAGTAATGTGCACTTTTCACTAACAGACCAGAGGAACGAAAAAAAAAAAATCAAATTCTCAGCTTGTGATCTGGTCATCAGTTGTTGTAAGCTGTTTTGTGGACAAGGTATGTAAAACGAAATTATACGGGGGTTTATTTCTCCTTTTGGTTTATTTAGGTTCAATTACTTAAGGTTACGCCAAGCTAGCTAATCGATTCGGTATCCATCAGGAGTTAAAACTAATGTCAGTCGCATATTGCTACAGTGGCCTGGTTGCTCTTATGTTAGCATAGGGCTAGTTTTGTTATTTTGTTTTTGTTTTTGTTTTGTCAGGTCAGGCCTTATCTTTAAGATAGGTGTGATTACGGAATATATTAAGTTCCTGGGTTTTGAAGCTATGTGTATCAAATTCAACGAGGTTTCAGTTTGGTCATATTAAAAATGATGACATCTGCTTTGGACAGATATTGCTAGACAAAGTAAAATAATGCATCTGGTATCAGTCTGCGCCAATCTGTTTGAGTTTAGCGCAGGATGACCGCAAATGCATGCGCACAGCTATTTTTAATTATCTTCAATAGCGAAAAAAGATCTTTTTATTTTTCTACAGGTTCCTTCATCAAACGTGTGTCTGCCACACGAATCCATGGGGACTGATAAAGGGTAAAATAAACGTGATCTAATGTATTGGCACATAGTCAGTGCATTCATATAGCCCATCTATGTCACTGACTTTATCTTTCTTTTTCAGGCTCAGTCGTGGTGAACGAAGTGGAAGATATGGTTCTGAAGGGAGAAAAGATTACCCTGAATGGCTTGAAACACCAAACAGAGATGTAGAGCCGGATTATGATCGACGATGGGGTGATGATAGACACAGAGAGCGCTTTGATGAACGCAGAGACAGTCCAGAGGTATGTGGAAAAGAAATATCTCTGAAAGCTCATGTTACTTTCATGCCTGTAGCAGAAGAATACAAACATCTTGCTTGTAACTTCAGTAACAGCATTATTGTTTTGTCTGTGTGCCGCAGAGGGGCCGAAAACGACGCTGCAGCGACAGAACTGATGATGAGTACGATGGGGAGAATCCAGACCAGGACTACAAAATGGAACAGGAGGAGGAGGAGGAGAGCAAGACTATTATGCTAAGGAGTCTCCCTTTTCATGCCACAGAGGAAGATGTAAGCTCGCAGTTCTCATTCAGTCTCACTCTTGCTTTTTAAGGGGAAAGCCCTTCAAGGTAAAGTGATGGGATTACAGGTAGAGAGTCAGGCAGATTGCTTCTAAGGAAAAGTGTTAAGATCTGTAAACTGACCTAGGATTGGTGTAAAATTATGGTGCAGAAAAGAAAAATGGAGCAGAATAGACTGATTTGGAGTTTCATGCTAGTGCTACCTTAAGTTCCATATTAACTATTGGTCTGTTTAATTTGTTAACTTAAACTGCAAATCAGTTGGTCTTGCATGACAGTTTATCCACCAACAAGCAGCTGATAGTTGTGCTGATGGCACCTGGTGGCTTTCCGCTTTCAGTCGGGTTTTACCAATGGTTCAGAGGGTCTATTCAGGCAGTTTTTACAGCTGAAGAAATTGCTGCTTTTTAGTGATCTTACTTAATAAGGAAGAGGTAGCTGATTTATGACAAGAACCAAAATAAAAATAGAGAACTGGAGTAAAGTTTGACAACAGTCCTGGTGTGATGTTTTGAAACCGACTGTGTAATGTTGTTAAAATAATTGTTCAAGGAACAGCAGTTGTATTAGGGTCTGCCTCCATTTTCCAGATTCGCTTAGCATTTGAGCAGCTGCAGGGACCCCAGCCTGTGGACATCCGCTTGATGACGAAAAGGGCAGGTGAGTGTCTCACATTGACCTCCATGCTCTGTCTTACAATCCTGCGTACCTCCTTTATGGCTATCTCTGAAAAAAAGTCTCATACTGTATCGCAATTGTCAGAGGATCTTTGTAGATTGTCCAGTCTGATGATGCAGTCAGGTAAGGAGGTATCTGTAAGTACTGCCATATTTGTGCAGACATTACAAGCTATGTAAACAAATCACACTACCATCTCCTTGACCTTGTAAGCACCCTCCCCACCTCCGTTTTTACCCTGAACTGGGCTGTGTCAGCCCATTGTGAGTTAATTGTTGCACTAAAGCATTCTAACTAACCCGCCTCCCATCTATATTTGAATGCTGTTTCTAGGTATAAGCCGAGGTTTCGCCTTCGTGGAGTTTTATCACTTGCAAGATTCTACCCGATGGATGGAGACCAATCAGGTTGCTTCAACAATCACCAAGTTTAGAATTGTTCTTGGAGATTAGAGCCCCAGTTAACAAGTATCATGTAGACGGTGTTACCAATTTTTAGAGCTGAAATCTGTTTGTTTTTAGTTAGAGGAATGAATTATAACCATGACCATATAAAAATGTGAAATCAGAGGTAAATATTTTTGACATCACACACTTGGATGATTGATACAGGAACTTTTTCAGCCAAATTGTCTTTCAACTGCTAAGTTTAGCATGTGTTGTGAATAGAGTGCTGTAAGGATGATATACTGTATTTATGTAACATTGCCCTGGTTCCCTTGACAAAAAGCCAGTGGGATTTTTCCAAAGGCTTTTGGAGTATTGCAGAAAATAAGATCTATGACAAACAATGGTTTATGACACTTACACGTTTTGTTCAGCAAGAAAATCTTCACAAGTGAACACAGCTTTTATGATTTTTGAAGTCCAAATGTAGTCACCAGAAGTAAAAGGCTATTGTTAAGGCTAGAACGTTACCACCACGGTTTCCAACTTGTAATTTGATTTATAACATTTTTCTCTTTGACAAAATCCGTTCCTCTTAGTGTGACCTGATCTAGCCAGGTATCATGGCTGCGACAGTTAGAATAGTTTGCAAGTGTACAAGTTTAAACATAACAGGGCTGTAAAGGTGGGCTAGTGAGTAAATGAGTCTCTGTGATGACGGTTAATATTCCAGATAGCCTCTGTAGTTTCATTTAGCCACTTGTTAGCAACCGCCTTTTTTAAGATGTCCTTTATCCCTCGGCCCATACGACTCTTCACCTCCTCCAACTGAGAAGGTCTGATCTGATCTTTGGACATGGACATATGATGTCACTTCTCGGCTCCATAATATTATGATCCCACTTCACTTTGACACTGTACTACTGCACTGCACACTCTTTACACTTATTTTTACCTTTGCACATAAAATATTGTCTATATATATATACATACACACACACACATTTTTAATACATAATTTTAAATATATTTCTTCACTTTGGGTGCTCTGATTTTGGAAATCATTGCTATTGCCACTGGATACCTGAATTTCCCTCAGGATCAATAAAGTATCTGTCTGTCTATCTATCTCTTCTTCTTCTTTCGGCTGTTCCCGTTAGGGGTCGCCACAGTGAATCATCTGTTTCCTCGGCATCCTCTACTCTCACCCCAGTTAACTTCATGTCCTCTTTTAGCACATCCATATATCTCCTCTTTGGCCTTCTTCTTAACCTCTTGCCTGGCAGCTCCATCTCCAACATCCTTCTACCAATATAACCACTATCCCTCCTCTGCACATGTGCAAACCATCTCAATCTGGCCTCTCTGACCTTGTGTTTCTCTATCTTTCTAAACGCATTAAAAGCCATGAGTGGGGTATTAACTGACTTATTTTATTTCACAGAACGTGAAACTGTATTGGCCTTGTGTTAACCATATACCTTATTTCAGGTGTCTAACCAAAAGCCTTAAAAAAAAAACCCCATAGACTTCAAGACAAGGGAACCTGAAGTGCAAAAATGCTAAGTCTTTTCTGAGGTTTAGGACTCACTACTACAGCACTCTATTCAGTGTTGATCCACTATGTAAATTGTTTTGCTTTTGTAAATGAAATGAAATCTTCTGTTTTTCCTGTTACATTTATTAACCACTACACTATGCAGGATATCTTTAGGAACTTGAGCTCATAGGTCTTTTGCCTCTGCTTTTCAAGAGTAGACTTTCTGCTAACACGGTTTAGTCCTGGCCGCCCTGTGACTCCATAGCACATTCTGCTCCAGCTCAGTCCCTTGGATATTTTCTCATCTCCGTTTAAAATCCGAAGACTGGAGTGAGACAGGCATGAGCTGGCAGCACTCCGGTCCCAAACACTTAGAACTTTTTTTTTTTTTTTTTGAGAACTCGTCCCCTCATACACAGAACTGAAACTCTCGCTCTCTCTGAACTTCTCTTTCTACTTCTGTTCCC